AAAAAAAAAAAACATACATTAATAATGAAAAGCATAGACGAACATGGAAGTCGACCTATTATTCCCAAACTTAGGTAAGATCGTTAGTGAACTAGTCGGACTGGGATTCCATTAGTTTCGTATTGAGTGGTCGCATGACCTCGGTTTGTGCCCCGTTTAGTGCTGTTTTACACGTATGAAGGGCTGTCGATCTCTAGGGAGCATGTCCTGTCGTATCATATGAACAATCAATGGATGGAACTGGTTGGTTGGTTCTTTTGGCTTAGGGGCGTTGGATATGGTTTTGGTTTTGGTTTTGGTCTTACTGTGGTTGGTGGTTGGGTTGGTTGCATGATTTGCATGTATGTATGTATGTGTGGTTGGATTGTTTATGGTCCGTGGGTTATGTTGGTCTATCCCTGATAGGACACGTAGCGTCTGTCTGTTGACCTGTCTTATGTATGTATTTATTGTTGGACTATCTAATCAAATAACGGCATGATGCTTATTGTTTAAAACTCATGTGGAATTGTTAGGTCCGCTCGTCTTATGCTCATGAGGTATCGAAACTAAAACTGCAGTCATACCCAATCCCACCCTAACGCCCGCTAAGCACACAAAAGTCCTGCCATGATTGCCTGTTTACAAACCAAGATCGTCATCGTCGTCCCATCCCAAATGCGCATAGATTGATTTCTCGGGTGTCACCGGCACCGCGGTGGTCGTCGGTACAGATAATCGGGCAGAGGAGCCCTTGACTGGTGTTCCGAGCACCTTCGCTGGCGTGTCTGCGGCTACCTCTGCTGGCCCGTCGGTTTGGATAAGTGGTACTACTGGTGGGTTCTGTCTCGGCGGAGTTTCCATCACGAGTGAACTGGTCGGTTCGGTGACCATCTCTGGACGAGACTTAGTGCGCCGTAATGGGACGGGTGTTGTCGGCGCCATATCGGTCGACCGGGGCACCGGGCGCCGAGGGACGCGGAAAAGATTTCCGGAGGAAAGGGGTGATTCGGTCACGCCTGCTCCGGGTCCATCGAATGGTCCTAACGGCTGAGTTGGCCGTCGTGTTGGGGTATCCTGGATCGCGTTCGTGTCCCTGGAGCTGGAAGCGATAGAAAATGATTTGGTTCGTGTGGTAGAAGCAGGGACCACAGGGGATCCGTCACCTCCAAAGAATGAGGATGCCTTGGGTTGGGTAGACGAATGCATCGGCATGCCTCGGGGAAGAGGGGGCATGCCAATGATGGCGTTCCTCTTTCGACTGCCCTTAGGCGTAGCGGCGACCTGGACTCCTTCTCCGAATGGGTTGCGGACAGGATTCTTCGGTTTCCTTGCGCTGCCACCTGTGCGTCGCTTCTCAGCATCTTCGGCAATGTCCTTAGCGACAAGCTCTCTGTTCGGTTTCCGAAGGGCATGGATCGCGGCGTCAAGCTCTTTCTTCTGATCCTTGAGCATCTGCATCTTCCTTAGTTTGGTCTCGTGCTGCCGGGCTACAGCGTTCAGGTCGACTTCACGATTGTCAACCCGTTTGGCCTTCTGAATGCCACCTCGTACATTACTGCTCAAGGAAGGCAACAAAGGTTCCATTGACTCCCGTTCGGATTGTGATGGCATGGTATTGAAGCGGCTCAGCGATAGTCGACGTCCTTGAGAGGCGGTTTGCTCATCTGTTAGCACGCGTTGCAATGTACGACGAGGGTGCTTTTGCGATGGCTGCCGTTCAACAGCCGCTCCAGGCTCTGCTCGGGGCACATTCTTCGGCGGAGGTTTCTTGGGGAAAGGCGATAGCACGCTGGGGACCCCGAGTTTCCTGGTGATCGATTTGCATTTATCTGGTAGGCGTGAAGCATAAAAGGGTATGATGACCTCGGTGCAGAAGTCTCGAACGGCATCACTTTCGACCTTCTTGCCCCCCGACTCGTTATCGCCATAGACTTTATTTGGATCAGAGACTGCAACATCGTCGAAGCTAACGGCATGCCAAATGCACAGCCGATCGAGGTGCAGTTCAAGCATCACTTGCAAATCTTGTAGTTTCTTAGGCTTTGACACTGTCATTTTGTCCGACCCGACACCTTCCTCAGTCGACTTTGCTTCATCAGCCATAGCAGCTTCCAACGCCATCGTCTCGAGAATGAGTAGGATCTGAAGCTGGGTTTCTCGTAGTCGGAGATCAGCAACATGCTTCTTCAGCTCCACGTCCCGCGACGTCTCAGTTGATACTCCTTGATCTACAACCGCTCGAGCTTTCCACCATGTCCGAATAAACTGTTCCTCTGTAGGGTAAAGCCCGTTTTTCCCAAGCTTCTTCTTATTCTTTCTCTTCTTCTTCAGCGTCGACTCATCGTCTGAAATACTGAGTGCAACGTCTTTCAGAGTCGAAGGCAGTGTCTCCCGGTACTTGAGATCCATTTTCTTAGCCGTAAGAACAGCCTCTCGATAAAACTCACTGAGCTCTGAGGGCTGAGAAGACCCCAACTCAGACGATTGAAAAGCCGTACGGCAACGCGCAAGCGGGCCTTTAGCAAAGTATGCCACGGAAGTCTTCCACAATTAGCACAAAACCACAACTAGACCCAGACCCAACATACCTTCGAGATATAGAGGGCTTGCAGATACTGCTCCCTCAGATTATCCAGCAGTTCCTGTGGCGATTGAAGAGACTCGGCCCCTATGAACTCTGTTCCGACGCCATCACCACAATGCTCTTGAGGATCCACCGCAGTAGGCATGGTAGCATCAGAGCTCACATCCCTTTCCAAATGTACCTGAGGCACCACAGATTGACCTCGACTCTCACCCGAATCCACCGGCGACACATCCTGGAGGCGCACATCGTGATCCACAACGCCGAAAACAACAGAAATGTCAAACTTGGTGCGCTTGGTAGAAAAATGAGTATCCGTAACGGGATCATCGATTTGCGCCATCAACCACCAGTCACCACCCTCCTCAATGGCAGACAAGCATCGAGGAGCCTGTTCCACCCCCGGCGGATTCCACCCTTTCACAGCAACAACGATGTCCCCTTCTTCAACGCCACGAGCTAGTTTCGAGAGCGCATAGATCCCCTTCTTGACTCGCTCAACGACGTAAAGCCCACTATCAGACGCCAGTCGTACAGCCAGAACGACAGGCTCCGTTCGCAGATTATTCTCTAACACTGGGATATCCGCAATGAATAAACTGCCGAACTGGATCTCGCACAGCGAAGCGGGGGAGAAATCTAGCCATGATAATGGCAATCGACAGCGCGGTACTATGGCAATCGGTTCTAGGACGTATGGCTCATGGGATAAGGATGCGGCATGGGCCTGGGTATTGCGGATAGGTTAGTATCCGACCACATGGTGAGAAGGTGTCGTTGCTCACCCGAATGCTAATGGTCTGTTTGGTCCAGTCATTTTCGAGGTGACATGTTTTTCGCTTTTTGGAGGTCGGGTTGGTGACCTCCTCTTGGAGGGGGTTTACTGAGAAAGGGTCGAGGGCGCTGGAGGAAACACGCGAGGCCATGAACGCGTCTGGCTAAGCATGCATTGTGTGCTTTTATAGAGGACGAGGGAGGATAAACAAGGCTCAGCTTTACAGAGAGTAATGCCAAGAGGGACTTGGTGTAATTGAGTAATCAAGCGATAATGATAACTATGATATGGATTGATAGGGTCACTAATTCTATATCGCGAAAATGCTGACCCGCGACTACGCGATTAAATTGGGGCCGTCTTGGCATCACGCGTCACGGGGTTCAGACAGAGTTCGACAGGCGCACATGGAAATGACTTACAGCGAACTAATCGTTGTAGTTCCAGTTGTACCTTGGAGTTGATGCATTAGTCGTAGAGTCGTAGGCCCCCCCCACATTGTGAAGGTTCACTTAACGGCTTTGAGGAATTTGAGGGCCACAAAGTCAAGGAGTGTGAGGAAAAACGACACCCATCCATATCTCGGAAAACTACAATGAATGGACGATATGGTATTAGTTACGTGGCTTACGACATCGACATGGAAACATAGAGGCCATATAAATGGTTCATTGTTCATTACTCTATAATGCTAATGTTTAGATTAGCACAACTATGACTGGGCAAATGCCGCCGGCCATAGCTAGATCATCTCCTCTCGGACGCTTGTTTGCAGCACAGCTTACGACAAGCGTCCACAAACTTCTGTGCGGACCCATATTTGGATGACGCTGGTGGTCCACAGATGCCGAGCCTGAGGAGGCAGTGTGTTGAAGACTTTCGCTCCCGGAAAACGCCGTAACATCCCTCCCAACAGATGAAAAGTGGTATCATGTTGAATTTATCCCGCCGAACCCGCCTTTTTATAGACGATCATGCAAATATTATAAAGGAAATATGGAACAAAGCTTTTCTGACGTGTCTATGCTCATGCTTTGAGTTGTTGAAACAAAGCAAAATCATCACATTCGTAACGAAACAGGAGAAGGAAGATTATGCAGTCACAGCGACGCGCTTAGAACTTGAGGGTCTTAGGCTTCTCCCAGGAGAACTCCTGGTTAGTGAAGTGACCGTTCTTGGCGGTCTGGAAGTAGATGGGCTTGGCCAGATCAAGCTCCTTGACAATGACACCAGGACGGAGGTCAAAGTTGTTGCGGACAATCTGGACGAGCTCCTCGGAGGACTTCTCGGAAGTACCGTAGGTCTCAACGAAGACGGACAAGGGCTCAGCGACACCAATGGCGTAGGAGAGCTGGACAAGGGCACGACGAGCGAGACCAGCGTTGACCAGGGACTTAGCGACCCAACGGGCAACGTAGGCGGCGGAACGGTCGACCTTGGAGTAATCCTTGCCAGAGAAAGCACCACCACCGTGAGCACCCCAGCCACCGTAGGTGTCGACGATGATCTTACGGCCGGTCAGACCAGCGTCACCCTGGGGACCACCAATGACGAAGCGGCCGGAGGGCTGGAGGTGGTAGACAGTGCGGTCGTCGAGCAGCTCAGCAGGGATGACCTGCTTGATGATCTTCTCCTTGAGAGCAACACGGATCTCCTCAGTGGAGAGATCGTCGCTGTGCTGAGCAGAGATGACAACGGTGTCGACACGCAGGGGCTTGACAGCACCGTTGTCGTGGGCGTACTCAATGGTGACCTGGGTCTTGGTGTCAGGGCGGAGCAGGGGATAGTGCCATTTTTACGGGCATCAGTCATGGCCTTGTTCAGCTTGTGGGAAAGGATGACAGTCAAGGGGAGGAGCTCAGGGGTCTCGTCGGTGGCATAACCAAACATGATACCCTGGTCACCAGCACCGAGCTTCTCAAGGGCCTCGTCGTAGTGAAGACCCTGGGCGATATCAGGGGACTGCTGCTCAATGGCGACCAAGACGTTGCAGGTCTTGTAGTCGAAACCCTTCTCGGAAGAATCGTAGCCGATATCCTGGATGGCACCACGGATGACCTTCTGGTAGTCAACCTGGGCCTTGGTAGTGATTTCACCGAAGACCATGACCATACCTGGAACAATGTTAGTATTTACGCATTATCTAACATAAAACAATACTATTGTTTTGTGTAAAAGGCATTCAACACATACCAGTCTTGGTGGCAGTCTCACAAGCGACCTATTCATGATAGCCTAATTAGTACGTGCTAAATTTTGGTGCGGAGATAAAGCCGGTCCAATCGGGTGGGGACAGGAGAAAAAAAAAGAAAGGGAGGGGTTCCGACAAAAAGTAAAACAATTTCCGCTCCGTACCTTAGAGAGAGGATCCTCAGCAAGGCAGGCATCGAGGATGGCATCAGAGACCTGGTCACTATTTGAATAGTTAGAATAATATTCGAATTGGATCGATGGGTGCGACCTTGAGGACCAGGGTCGCAATGCGAGTGCAAGGGGGTACGAACGCAATCTTATCGGGGTGACCCTCTCCGACGGACTCGGAGGTGAAAAGGAAGGTGCCGGCCTTGGGGAGGTTTGCGACGGAGCCCATTGTGAAGGATGAGGATAGGTATAGGGGGGAATTAATT